TTTTCGTTTTTTTTTTTTAGCTATTTTGTGATACTTTCAGATTCTTTCTGCTAACTACAATATTTTTGTGTGTCTTGTAATGTCTTTCTGCTAATTTCAGCCTGTTATGTTCCTTTCAGCTTATTTCTGCAAGTTTCAGCTTTTTCTGCTGTTTCGTCTAGCTGTTTTTGGCTAATTTGAGCTTTTTCAGCTAATTCTGCATTTTTGCACTCATTTCAACTTTTTTGGGTCTAATTCAGCAATACTTTGCTCTCTCTTCACTTCCTTCTGGAATTTAGGCTTCTTTCTGAAAATTTAGCTACTTTTCAGCTGTTTTTTGGTTGTTGTTGTTGCCAATTTCAGCTTTTTTCAGATCCACTTTTTTTGTGTTCATTTATGCTTCTTTTAGCCTAATTGGGAGTACATTTGAGTTTGTTCTGCTTTCTTCTGCTAATTTAAGCTTGTTCTGCATTTTCATCTACATTTTAGCTAAATTTAGCTGTTTTCAGATAAAGTCAAGTTTTTCATGGTAATTTCTGCTACTTTCAGCTTAATTAACTTCTTTCTGCTAATTTCAGCTTGTTATGCACCTTGCACTTTTTTTTTCTAGTTTTAGCTTTTTCTGCTATTTCAGCTACTAGCTAGCTGTATGCTAGTTTTGACGTTTTCAGGTAATGCTGCCTTTTTTAAAGCTAATTTCATCTCTTTCCACTTCCTTCTGGTAGTTTGAATGGACTGTAAAATGGACTGTACTTATTTAGCGCCTTTCTATCTTATTTCAAGATACTCAAAACACTTTACATTACAATCTGTGCCCTCATTTACCCATTCATACAGCACTCTACTAGATCTCTGCAAAGCTATTTGAACAAATTATTCTAATGAGACTAATCAGTGCTTTATCACATTCATACACTGATGGGACACACATCAGAGGCTATTAGGGGTTCAGTGTCTTGCCCAGGGACACTTCAGCATGTGACTGCTGGTGAATTCGAACCCCCAACTCTTGCATTGGAGGATGACTGCTCTAACCACTCAGCCACAGCCAGTTTATTTCTTTATGCCTTTTCATCTACTTTTCAGCTATTTTTGTGCTTATTTCAGCTTTTTTTTTAGCCAATTTCCTAATTTTAGTGCTCATTTCTGCTCATTTATTCCTAATTCAGCAAACATTTGTTCTTTATCCTCTAATTAAGGTCTGTTCTTTCATTTCAGCTACAATTCAGCATGTTTTTGGCCAATTTCAGTTGTTTTTCAGCTATTTCTTCAGCAATTCACACTGCATTTTCGCCGTTTAAGTTTAAATTTACACCTGTAGAATTTATATTCTGCAAACCTGCTTTTTTTTTTTTTAGAAACAATGGTTCTATGCACAGACATTTGAACAATATAAAAAAGCTTTTCTCTTTAAATTTATGAAATGGAGGTAATTACAAATTTGTCGTCTGACCGAAAAAAAACAAACTATTTTGTAGAAGTGATCTGCAATTCATATTCTTTTTAGATTGTACAGGACTTTTGGTTTTTTAAATCTAAATTGAGGGAAAAAAAAACAGGTTAAAATCCCAAAATTGACTATAACTCAGTTTTGCTTATAGATATTAGATGATATGCATTCAAATTCAAATAGCTAATTCATATTTTCACTGATGCAATTTGTCCTTTTTTTAACTCACATTTTTTATTACTTCCTTTCTCATCTCCTGCTCTGATCCTTTTTGTGGAAAAACCCAGTCAAAGTTTTGCTCTGCTACTCTGCCTGACTCCTTTCTGGCTTTCCCTTTTGGACATACAAGAATAAACAAGGGTCAGAGGAACACAGGCAGACATTTTCATCTGTCAAAAAAAAAAAAAACTGTAGTTAAACGGCCAACTTTTGGAAATTAGGTGTAATTTTGTGTTTTCACACGAGACAGAAGTCTCTCAGTTCTGCAGAGCTGGACTCCTCCTGTTTGGGGTTTTGGAGTTGGAGGGAAAAACAGCCTGACTTCTCAAGCTTGTCACAGATGGTTTCTGTACAAAACCAACCACAGCAGACTGTTTTTAGACGGAGAGGAGACGGGGTGTGGATGACTGTGGACCTACCACAACTGTATGAGTAAACAGCAGACACCAACTCGGAGTGTCCAGATTCACAATCAAGAATAACACCTCTGCGCTTCGGTTCAGACAAGCTCAGGACTGGATGAAAATAAAGCCCAATTCCAAAAGGGACTTAGTGGGAAATTTAAATAAAAACTGAATGCAGTGACTTTCAAATCTCATAAACCAATTCATAATGTAACATAGTAAACATATACCATTGATGTTGTTCTAGAACTTATATTTACCTTTCTGCATTGATGATGCCTTTCCAGATGTGTGAGCTCCTTATGCTATAGAGATAAATGCACCCCCATACCATCAGAGAGGCAGGCTTTTGAACAGTGGCCAGATGGTTTCTCTCCAGAGAGGACGTTTGCTCTGTGGTTTTGATGATATTATAAACTGTAGGTAATAGGATATTCAAAGTCTCCAAATTTTGCATTGATGAACATTACTCTTAAAATTTCCCACTATTTGTAGACTCAGTTTATCTCAGACTGGTAAACCTCTGCCCAACTTTTACTTCTGAGAGATTTCGCCTCTCTAAAATGCTCTTTTTATACTCTGTCCTCTTATTGATCTTTTGCCAATGAGCCCATAGCTGCAACGTTCTCTTCCACTTTTTTCTGATTCATTCCACTTTTTGTAGCCTTTTGTCACCACTGTCCCAACTTTTTTTTTTAAACGTGACAAATGTAAAGGTTTGATTTCTTAATTTAAACATTTGATATGCTTGCTGTGTTCTATTGCGAATAAAACATGAGATATTTGCAAATCCCTGCAAGCTGTTTGGGGCAGCTGTGGCTAAGCGTTTAGAGCAGTTGTCATCCAATCGGAGAGCCGGAGGTTCGGTTCCAACAGCAGTGACATGCTGAAGTGTCCCTGGGCAAGACACTGAACCCCTCAATGCCTCTGATGTGTGTCCCATCGGTGTATGAACGTGATAAAGCATTGATTAATCTTTGTAGAAAGCTAGTAGAGTGCTGTATGAATTGGTAAATGAGGGCACAGATTGTAGTGTAAAGCACTTGAGTATCTTGATAGGTGTTGTATAAGTAAAATCAATTTGCCATTTATATTTACATTTTACACAACGTCCCAACCTTTTTGGATGTGGGCTGCATAATTGTGTGACATTTTGGAGTTACCTAAGAAAACATGCTCTTCTGTGAAAGAAAAGAACAATCTGTGTCTTGCATAATAACATCAACTGATTGCACATTTTTTCTCTGTAAAGTATTTTTTGTTTGGTGTTATAGATAACAAAACAAAGATTGTATATTATCGATGTATATTGTACTGACAATGCATTTTATTTCACACGAATGTAAGTCCTCTCAGACTATCTTATCTTCTGCTTGATTATTTTGTTCCAACTGGTCTCCAGTTGTCCAGCCTTGACCTTCGTGATTTACAGGGGTTTTTGAACAATGTAACCAGTGAATAAAATCAGATAATTCACTTGTCTTACGCTTTTCACACACAGCATATTTTACTACAAAGTCTGAAAACACTCATCTTTGACTCACCAACCCAAATAATCACTTACACATCTGCTCTTTAGAAATGTCTGCTTGTGAAGTGTGGGCAAAATAAGAATGATAAACTTCAGGTTCTGGCAGTGACTTTATTCCAGTTCAATAAAAACAAACAAGTGAACAAACAAAAAATGTTTTCCTGGATGAGAAAATTGCTTAAATGGACAAACTTTCTGGATAAAAACATTGACACTTTATCTTTTTTTATATATATAGATATATGTAACACATTAGAAAATACAATAAACATGTAATTAATTTATTCCACAGTTTTCCAGATTGTTTTTCTCAATCGTTTAGAATTCCAGACTATTACTTATCAATATCCTGATTACTTATCAATAGACAATGTGAAAGAGGTGTCCCGTAATACTGGTGCTTTTACGTCACTGTATGAATATTTGTTGTTTTAAAGAATGCCAAAAATCTCCAAAATGAAATACAATGTAAGAGGTGTGGACGATTGCATATTTCACAAGTGTCGGATAATTGTATCCAAGTAGAATCCTTTCAAAAGAACCTTGAGCCTTTTTCCTATGAAGCTTGTGCTGCTTTTTAGTTTATTTTCTTTGTTTTGTGGACATTTTAGCATAAAAAATACTTGAAGAAAAAGACATCTTTAGAGAGGTTCAGACAGTGTGAATGAATGTTAATGGTATGTATGGATCCAAGTGAAAAACATCAGACAGAAGTTTTGGAGGCCTGTTTGAGTAAACTCATGGCAAGTCACCCCCTCTGGTTGCAGTTTACTGGGATCATCGGTTGTTTGTTCAAAGAGCAATGGGACACAAAATGCACCGCTGGCCTCCACACCCAATTTAAATTGAAATCAGATGGGATGAGTCAGACTGCAATTTGGAGGAAAAGTAACTAATGAGACTTTAGCAGATACTGCCTGCAAGGGAGTTGAGAAACCACCTCAGACCGTGAAAGTTGTTATCGAGCAAGGCTGCAAAGTTATCCATTTAGTCTGTTACATTAAAATTTGTATCTTCTGTTTCAGCTGTAGGTTTTAATGATGATGATGATATGCCATCAAAATTATTCTCTCCCCCCCCCCCCCCCCCCACACACACACAAACGCGCGCGCACACACACACGCACACAAACGCGCGCACACACGCGATAATAATTAGCATAAGAGTACAGCTGCGTCTCTAGTCCCCACCTACAGGAGCTGATGATGAGTTCAATGATACTCGGAAAATATGATATTATATAAAAAGTCCCTAAATGTTAGAGTAGGGAAATTAATGGCTACAGTCTTTTTTTTTGTACAGTTATTTCGACTGTTTTGTTATACTTATTATGCGTTTATGAAAAGTATTTTTTCTTTTAATTGCGTTGTTTAAAAAAAAAAAAACGGCCCCAAAAGCAGCGTATGCGACGAGAAAGTAATAGTTCCGATCGGCACTTGAACATTTTTAATTCTAGCTTCAATCGAGCACGAGGTAGTATAAGAACACCAACACATCCTAAACAGAGACAGAGGCAACACAGAGTTTTAAGAGGTAAGATGTTTCACCGCCGTTCATTTTCGCACTTTTTTTGTCAGGTCTTCGGGTTTTAATTACCACGAACGAAAAGGGATTGTTGGACTTTGTGTTCAGCTTTAAAAACGTTTCATTGGTGCGATATAACAACTGGCAGTTGAGCTCTTTGTTGATTAAAAAAAAACCGCGAACTGGTTGGTATTAGTTTCGGATGCTGTTCTGCCTTGTTTAGTCATTAATTTTTTTTCACGACTCGTTTGTAGACGGAACTCGTGGTTCTGTTTCTAGCCGGGTACCACACTAATCTCTCCTCTTTCTTTGTTGACTTTTGCCGCCAACTTCTTGAACCGGCCGGTGTTTTTTCTTATTAAGCGGCTCATGGGTGTTTTACCACATTCTGTATCCCGTCAGATTAGGGTGCTGGGGGTTAAGAAACATGAAGTCCTGGACACTGGGTGTTTCGTATACCAATCAATATACATATATAGGTCAAATGATTATTAAATTAGGTTTTGACAGGATTTTATGTTTCTAACCGGGTAGTCCTATAGTTTGCCCGAGGCTGTAAGCCAGGTCCTTGTGATAAATCATGGGGCAGTAGTTTGAGGTGTAACACGTGGGTCTGTCTCTTCTGGTTTCTACAACACTGTGGCAAAGATAAGACAGGAGTCTTTTTAAAGCTTTATCAGCTGTCACTGATGTCTGCAAACACGAGTTTACGTTGAACAAGACTTTATTTTTTAGTCTTGTATAGGCTGGATGTCATATCTGTCTTTATTTACCATTATCTACGTGTTTTTAACTGCTCTTATAGTGAATGAAAATGTGTAATATTTTAAATGTTACAGTCTTATCATGGTTTAATTATTGGGTTAAGTGTTTTTTGTATGATTTTTGTGACTATAATCTACTACATGAGATCTTTCTGACTGAATGGTGTTGTGTTTCCTGGCTCGGCTCCCTGCTGCACGTGTCTGTGCTATTTGTGACTGTGCTGACGCTGAAGCAAGGAGAAGAGTTGTGGCTTTGTTTTTCAGCGGACAGCTGATTTGACAGCAGCAGCATGGGCACCACATCCTTACTTTCAGTTGATCAGCTGATGGTCCTCCTTTTGCATGTGAACAACTAGTTTTGGTTGTCGCCAGCGAATTGGTTGATCCACTGTGAGAAGGTGATCTAAATAAAGACAGTTTGTTGCAGCCTCTCAGACTGAAGAAGTCTTTTGGATAAAAGACTTGAACAAAGAAGAATTCATCCAGAGGACCCAACTCAATCTTTATTAGATTTATCTACCTTGATCACTGAGCATGCATCAGGACGTCTTGTGAAAGACTACTTCCTGTCTTTGTGCTTTTGTTTCCGGATAGTATTTGCTCTGCCTTGATTACATCCTCTCATTACAAAGGATAGCAATCGCTGTGTTTGACTGTGCTTAAATTACTCAATACATAAAAAGTGTGAAACGCCACTTTTCCGCCATTACAGTAGGCAAGCGCTAGATAACAACGATCAAGATGGCTTTAGGATAAACCAAAACGAAGTGTATTGAGACTCTTGACCAATGTGCAAGAGAAAGATTTATCCAGTAAATCGTTGGCTGTCGGGACTGACCCATACAGGGCAGAGAAAGAACAGGCGTTCCCTCCGATTTCTTATGACAGTTGATTATTATTTTTTAATGAACACGATGAGTGCCTACACAATAGAGGAGCTTTGCGGCTTGAAACCCATGGATGAAAACGTTGGTTACGTACTGTAACCCCAGATTCTATGAATATAGGCGTAGCCCTTTAAGGCTGTCGCTGATGGGTTTATCCCGTTATGCGCAAGCATCGTACTGAAAAAAAATTAGTCCACGCCCACCTGCTGTGTGGGCCCCACCCGATCCGTATAAATTACGTTAAGAGCGGGTAATCTGCTCCCAAATAGCTTATTCTTTTCTTCAGCTATTCAGGAGCCAGTGAGGCCCGACGCTTAAAGGGCTACGCCTATATTCATAGAATCTGGGGTTACAGTACGTAACCAACGTTCTATGTCATATAGGCTTCGCCCTTTAAGGCTGTCGCTGATGGGTTAAGGGCGAAGCGGATGTGGTCCTCGCCTCACTGGGTCCATTCGAACCCAGTAAGAAGCGGAAGCTTGCCCAAAAAACGTCTTGCCACTCAGTTCTCCATGTGCATAATTACGCATCGCGTAATTGTGTGCCATGCACAGACGCATGTTGTGCAACTATGCGTTCTGACAGCATGAATGCCCCGGAAAAACTTCAACGGGGAAGATATTGAAAAGAGGAGGGGGGGGGGCATGAAGCAACTGATTCATGATTGAACAGTATAAACAGATTAATATCAATGAACTGATTATTGAACAAATGAACTGATTGGTAACAATAGTCATGAACTGATTAGTGACAATAGAACCGAATCACAGACACAACTTGTGGCTGATAACAACATCTCACACTGTAATGCATGCAGACAGATGTGAGCTTAAACAGAGTTCCATGAGAACAACAATATTCATTCTGTTAGAGCACTAAGGACAGAATGTGTCATGGAACGAGCCGTTACATCACGTAGGTAAAAGCGAATAAATGAGCAGGGTGATGACCATGCAGCCGCAGTGCAAATGTCCTGCATTGACATACCATTATGCAGAGCAGTCGAAGATGCGATACCCCTGGTTGAGTGTGCTTTGAGGTTGACAGGAGGCTCTAGATCTGATGCTCTGTAGGCTTCAGAAATGGCCTCACACAGCCAGTGTGACAAGCGCTGGGTGGATAACGGGCGGCCTGCGGATGCATCTCTATAATGCACAAACAAATGTTGAGTTTGACGCATTGCAGCTGTGCGCGCTATGTAACACGATAACGCCCGCACCGGACAGAGAAGATGAAAAGATGCTTCTTCTTCTGATCTGTGGGGGGGAGGGAAGAATCCCTCCAACGATATCTGTCTCGATTTAAAAGAGCTCGTGATGCATTTAGGCATAAAGGCTGGGTTTGGTCTTAAATCAGCTGAACTACCGTCAGCCTGGATTCTGAGACATGACGGAGCGGCAGAGAGGGCAGATAAATCACTCACCCTCTTGGCGGATGTTAAAGCCAGCAGCAGGGCTGTTTTAAGAGACAGGAATTTAAGTGAAACTTGATCCAGAGGCTCAAAAGGAGCTTTGATCAGGGCTCGCAGGACCAGCGTTAAATCCCACTGTGGAACGAATGGGCGTGAAACCGGTCTATGTCTTTGTACACCTTTTAAAAACCGCTTCATCAGCGGGTGGTTAAAAGCTGTTCTGTCCCCGAACCCTTCGTGGCAGGAAGAGATGGCTGCAGCGTACGTTTTAATCGTGCTGAACGCCAACTTCCTATCCATCAGCTGTTGAAGAAAGGACAGCACGCCACCTAATGGACATGAGGTGGCCTCCAAACCTTTCTCTGTACACCAGCGCTGAAAAGCCGTCCACTTTGATGTGTACAGGGCTGTGGTAGATGCAGCACGTGAATCTTGAATTGTGCGCACTACCTCCTGAGGGAGACCCATCTTCTCTAAGCGGGACCGCTCAGCGGCCAGACCCACAGGTGCTGGCCTATTTCCGGGTAACTCCTGATCGCTCCTCCTGCTTGAAGGAGAGCATCTTCCCTCCATGGCAGTTTCCACGGGCGACCTGACAACAGACGCTGCAGGACCGGGAACCATGGTGCGTTCACGCGCTCGGGAGCTACCAGGAGAGCTGTCAGTCCCTCCTCCTGAACTCGGTTCAGGAACCGTAAAATCAGAGGAGGAGGAGGGAACGCGTACAGAAGCGTTTTGGGCCACGGGCTGTGGGCAAATGCATCCACCCCCAGCGGTGGATCGTCTCGAGGGCTCAGGGAAAACCATAACTGGCACTGAGCGTTCTCTCGCGTCGCAAACAGGTCCACAGCTGCTTTGCCAAACTTCTGCCACGTCTGAAACATCAGGTCTGGATGGAGGGTCCAGTCCGCGTGACGTGGGCCGCCCCTGGACATCACGTCTGCTCCTCTGTTCAGAACGCCGGGTATGTAAACCGCTCTGATGGAAAGCAGATTTTGGTGAGCCCAACACAGTAGCTTCCGTGCAATGTGTAACATCTGGGCTGAACGCACACCCCCCTGGCGGTTTATGTACGCAGCAGTCACCATGTTGTCTGTGTGAATCAACACGTGTTGATTCTGTAGCACGGGAGCAAAATGCTGAATCACATTCAGCACTGTGCGACACTCCAAAACATTGATGTGGGCTGATGTGCGGTGGGGCCACAGCGCCCCTACTGCTTGAGATAGGCATGTCCCCCCCCAACCTGACAGAGACGCGTCCGTGAAGACTGACACGTGTGTCGAGGGTTTGCTGACGGGGACTCCCTCTGACAGAGCCAGGGTGTTTCCCCAGTGTCGGAGGTCTGCTCTCACGGAGGGAGGGACAGTGATCATCCGTCTCTTTTGTTTTACTGGATCCACACGCAGGCGCGTAAACCACCTCTGGAGGCGCCTCATGTGTAACAAACCCAGCGGGACCACTGTGTGAGCTGATGACATCATTCCCAACAGCTTCATGACGGAGACAGCTGTTACCACTTTGCCAGGTCTTACGTGGCGTAATTGGTTTTTTAGAGTGTCGATTCTTGTTTGTGATAAGCGAGCCGTCATGGTAATTGAATTTAATTCCACTCCCAGATAAACAATTGTCTGGGCCGGGAAAAATCGAGCTTTTCTTCCAATTTATGGCGAAGCCCAGATTTAGCAGGTGTGATGCCAACACCTGAGCCTGTATCAATGCTTCCTGTCTGGAGTGAGACAGGAGCAGCAGGTCGTCCAGGTAAAACAAAACTCTCATCCCTGCTCTGTGCAGTGGATGCAGGGCTGTCTCCACACACTTTGAGAACGTGCGAGGTGCGAGGGAGTACCCGAAAGGCAGCCTGTTGTACTGGTACTTCATCCCTTGAAAGGCGAAACGCAGAAATTTTCTGTGTTTTGGGATGATTGGTATGTGAAAATAAGCATC